CTCGCCCTCCCTCCGCCCTCGCTGCTTAACGAAGAAAAAAAAACATTTAAAGATGCTGCTCCATCCGCGGCAGTAAACAGCAGCTGTTTTGTTCAAAAGGTGCCTAACTTGCCACTGACTTCCAGAAAAGAGAAAATGCAAAATGCGGTTTTTATCTTTGAAAATCTCCTCAGCAATGGTTTGCTTGGGGTCCCATGCCAAAACTGTGGGAACAGAAAGCCCTTTGAATCAAGCCCTAAAAAAATTCTCGTTAAAATTGAAGCCCTTTTCCCAAACTTGTTCCTCAAAGTGAGGTTCACGTAACTAGCCCATACTTTTCAAGCTGTCTCATATTGGGCTGTTTTGAGGCAATTTCTGCTCACCGGCCCTATACCGTGTTTGAGCCACCTTCCACAAAGCCTCGAGTAACCCAGCAGCAAAGATTTCTGTCATTCGTTGGGGTTTTTTGCACATCACAAATGGCTACAATGTCCAGTGCAGGCTAATAACTCCAGAGAAAGAAAAAATAGAATCTTAAAATCTTCAGTGTTTTCTCAGCCACTCATTATTCAGCAATAATTTTCTACTCTTTCGGAAGATGAATTTCTGATGGGACTCCTATAGGTTTAAAAGAGGTGATTCATAGAGAAGTGGAATTCTAGTTAAGAAAACTCTGGAAAGGCTTAAGCTGCCTTAAAATTGTACCAGATGCTATTGTTCCTGGTTTGTTTAACTTCTCACTATGAATATCTGGAGGGAAGCTACTAAAGCAGCTCCATCTCGGTCTGTCCTAGGGATGTGGCTACAGGAAGGCAGTCAGTGAAAATTAAAAACAAAGAATGAAACAGAGTTGTGTAGACAAAAAGCCCAACATACTGTAATTCCAGCAGCACGAAATAAACATTGACAGCATTTTGTAACAGAGAGCAGGTAATGGTCAGGAAGCATAACAGCAATTACAAGCAACATGGTAATAGGGTAGTTAATGAAGGACCAGTGTCTTTTTAACTAGGTGGTACAATGTCTTTAAAACGGGCTTTATGAATGGTAATGCTTATTTTCCAAACACATTTAACTAATTCAGCTGGCAAACCATTTGACTTTACTTCATTCATTATTTGAAATTTACAAAGTCAGCAGTCGGGGCTCAACGCTGAAACACTGCCTGAAATCAACGGTCCATTGAATACAGCGTGGAGATAAAGAGTCGTGGGATGTCTACATTAGTACTATCTTCTTCTTTTCCTCAAACACTCAGCAATTTTTTATAATCACTCACGTATTTCATAACACATAATTTCATTTCAGAACAGTAATAATGCAACAGGTAAGACCACACTGTTTATTATCCTCTTACACTGTTTCAATAGCAAAGTCATTATTCTAACGGCACTCACTCATAACAGTAAGCTGTAGGTTCCCCAGTTCCTGGGGATTCCTTTAATCAAATTGCTGAGACTAAATAATTAGGCATGTAACTGTGAGTTCAAATGACCTATCGGAAAATTAATCCCTGATGCAACTCCACGGACACCTACAGGTTTAAATCAAGCTCCATCTCTGCAACTTCTAAGGCTCAATTAGTTAACGGTACCTTGGTGGCACAAAACTGCTGCATTTCTGCATTGCAGTGGGCACAGAGGCGAGGCGAGAAAGTGGCTTCCAAAGTCATCCTCTCTAGCATGGATTGGATGACAGAGGGCAAGCCAGGAGGGAAAGGAGATGGCCCACTGCATCTATAATTATGCAGAAGAGTAATCACAAAACCTTGCGATGCGGCTGTGGGATGGTTATAACCCTTGCTTAAGCAGAGCAACTATGACAGGAACCAGGGAGACTTTGCTCCACTGAGAGCAACTTTGTTGTTGTTGTTGTGCTTTACTGATCAAAGAATTTAATAGATATCTAATCATACCCTAATTTTCAGAACGCAAACAGCAAGCAACCATCTATGCTCATGAGCAAGGGCTCATTAAAGTGATTAATGTATTCATTCACAGGGCAAGAAACAAATATTTCTACTCTCAGATTTTCTTCTTACCTCCACAACTTCCTCATATTCTTCTTCCTCCATTTTGAGGGTATTCTTCTGTCTCTCCCCCACTCACTGGTCACGCAGCAAATAAAAGTGTGAATACACAGTATTAGCCCAAGACGGAAAGTACTCGGAAAAGCTACTAGTCAGGTTCATAAAGCACCTGGGTCACGGTTAGTAACTAGTCAGATCATTACAAAGTTGCTGGCTAATCAGTAAAAGAACTTGAACAACAGAGAGAACTAAAGTTGGGATCTGGCATTACTTTGTTTCTGACCATTATGGGAAAGCACTGGGTTAAGTTTCAAATGTACTGATACAAACTACAATTTTGGACAAATATTTTAGTCATTGTAACATCAATACTGGAATTCAATGAAAAGAAAACAAAAATTAGAGGAAGAGATTTCTTGAAGTATGATTTGATTTTTTTCATTACAACAAAATTATTTGAAGAATTTTTCTTTTCTCTGTGAGTATACTATACTATTTCATTACATTATTCAAGCTCCTGTTTGAATGGGGGCTTTATCTGTATATTCTACTATATTCATTCACAAGTAAAAGCATAATGGAGAAAAAGATTGTAAATATTTTTTTTAAGTGACCTTAGGTTAATGAGGCAATTTCTGTCTTCCCAGCATTAGCCTATACAGATGCTCGGGCTTTGTTTTTTTTTTTAGTTCTTGTGGCTTTTTTCTCTCTATTTCTTCAGACCTGGCAAATATGAAAATCCATACAGTTGCTGAATTACAAAGTAGAGATTACTGTCAAAACCTTTAAACAAATTAATTAATACAATGATTTCGCTATGAGGCAAAGCTACAATTTTCCACCAGAGACTACACCCCTGTTTCTAATGTTGGTAGGGGATGAGGCTTTGGAACAGCTGTTCCTGAGTCCAAAGATATTTGCCGTGTAAGCTAATACTACCAAATGATGGGGTGGTTTTGTTTAGCTGGCTAAACTGCAATTCCTTCTGAGGCAAGTGAAGTCTAGTAATGCAGGTTAAATATAGGAACATAGAATACTGTCCCTTTTTAGTTCCAATGTGGTGAGCAAAATTACCAAAAAAAAAAAAAATTATTTTGTTAAACCAGAATGTTAACTATTAAAATAAATGAAGAATAACTCAATTAATTAAGTGGCATGTCGTGTGAAAAAGTAGGCCAAAGTTTACAGACAAACCCAAGAAGCAGGGATTGCATATAAGCATACAATCTATACAGTCTGTCACTATTATAACCTCCAGTTACTCTTCCAAAACACAGTTCCAGGTCCTTTCCTCTTACTGCCGTTTGCAACTAGTCATCCAGACAGAAAATCTGACTTCCATGGGCAAGGCACGACTGCTACTCCCAAAAAATTACAGAACGGGGAAACAGCTCAAGATCCTATTCTAAGGAAAAGAAGTCAAATGCGATTAAAATGCTCTTACCAGCAACATCTAGTAAATATCCTTAGGAGCAAAGCCTCTCCAGTCTTCCCTCCTGAGCAGCACTGGGCGAGAGCGAGCCTGGTGCATCAGCTCCTAATTACGCATGTGGTTAGCACAGCCAATCTGGCTCCAGCCCGCTCGAGTTTCAGCCCTAAATATACTTGGTGACCCCGGAGGAGGCCACCTGTTCTCAGCAACATGAAGGAAAAGGGAGCAGGGCACTTCTGTGCTTCTGAGGAAACCCAAAACACACCAGAGCTTGACTGAACTTCACCAGGTCTCTGCTGAAATGGATCCCTAGGCAAACCCAGGGGAGCACTCAAATGGAAAAAAAAAAAAAAAATCGTATTTTCTTCTTTCAGAATTTATAATAATGGTTAATTTGGATTGACAGGGACAATTTCATTCCTATATTGTACCTGAATCAAAACTATCCAAATTCAAGAATTTCTGAACTTCAGAGAGAGGAGAGAGGAGTCTGGACTTTGAACTCAGTTTTTAGTATAAATCTGTCTTTAATTTCATCCCTTAAGTATACCTGAAGTGCTTTATCAACTTAACTTGATGCAAATCATGTGTCAATAGTTTTATCACTTCTTATGAAATGTTACATAGCTGAACACATGGACCTGGGAACACGTAAAAACTGACTACTTGCAACCCGGTTAACAGCCAATATGCCTGGTGAAGAAAGACTAAGAATACATGATAAACAGATTAAGTGGCGGGGAGCAATTTTAATGTACCAAGTATTTTGGAAGGTCAAGAATTATATGATGTATGGAGTCGAATCATGGTGATGATAACAACTGACCTCTTAGGTCATCTAGCTGACCCACGTCATAGGATTGCTTTAGTTCTTCAAGGAGGTGCCTTTAAAAGCCAATACCAACAATGATCTCTTTTCTTATACTATATCACATAATTCAATAAATGATTGTCAGGAGCCCTTGAGAGACACCTTCTTGTTCCTTAACTCTTTCCAGAAGTTAATATTTATATCCAGATGAAATATCATATCTCATTCACTACTGCCAAGTATTTTATACTCTGCACAGAGCTGTAGATCCGTCCCTTTCTCCTTTAGGCAAGCTATATGATTTCAATTATTTAGCATTTTGCTTTACTAGGCAATCCTTCCCCTTTTAATCTTATTTCTGTTTATTTAAAAGCCCTTTGGTTTCTTAACATCTTTTGAAGATGTCGAGAAATGAATATAGCACATTGATGGAGTCTCACGAGAGCAATGTCAGCTTAACCTTCTGCTCTCCAATCCAGATCCTGTGTGTGTGCATGCCAGAAATAACTCACAGAGTCATTTTTCTCCAAAGTCCTGCTTTTCAGTTGATTGGATGCATAATGTGACATCTACGTAAGTGATGACAAACCTTTATGTAGTGAAGGGCCAATTTTTTTTTTATTAAATATGTAATTCGTTATTGTTGTTTCCAGCTCAATGTTGTTGATGCCAAAATTAGCACCATGGCTGGTGACTCACTATCCCCCTTCTTGGTTCTTTTCAGCAGGTCTGGGTTCACGGCCTCTTTTTCAGACTTAGTTGTACTTCACATTGCTCTTCCTGTAAATGGCATTCCCCCGTAGTCACTGCTACAATATTAGATATTATTATGCCTCATTCCAATCACCTGGTTTAAATCAGGTTTACTGGATCAATGGAAGCTTGTATTCCTCTGTCCTGATGGTTACTCTGACAAAATTAGCAAGTATTTTCAAACTCTACAACTCCTAGCTTACTAGAACATCACCTTCAGATTCTATTACAGTGCTGTCCAATAGATCTTATTTAGAAAGACACTGAACAAGGCCAAAATTACATGCAGGATGCAAGTACTGCTTTTTCTGCTACTGAAATGCAGCTGCCTTTGGTGTGAAACGTGGCAGATCTTCAGCAGCAGACAGTTCAGGGCTGGAAACCAAGCATGGAATAACCCGAAAAATTACAGAAGGGGTTTAAGAAACAAAAGTGTTATTGCTGAGATGAAAAGTTGGACAGAACATAAGATTTATGTTCTGACATCAGAACGTGAAGAAGTGAGGAAAATGCTCTTAGGTCACCTATGGCTGCCAGCAAAATCTTTTAATTCTTACATTTGCTGCTTTGCTCCTCCAGCTCCAAATCTCGGGGAACAACTCTGACAAAACTATCGCTACTAGCCTCATTTTCATTTAAAACTGAAAAAACCCACATTTTCTGTGATTTCTACTGAAGTCCACAAGTGGCTTTTATTGGTGAAAATGCAGTGTTCACTTGCTTAAGTGCTTTTATCTACATACAACACATACCAATAAATGGATCTTTACACACCTGCCTATATATGTTATTTGTATATTTATATATAATACCTAAACACATGCACACATATCTTCACATATGTCTATCCATGGGTCTTCGCTGTGGAAATAAACTACTATGCTCATTGCTATATTTCATATCATTCACTCCTCAGGACCGCTAAAATGTCAGTGCTACATATTCATATCGAAATATCAGCAAGGATTGCATGCTGAAGTAGAACACGCATGAGGGAAATGGAATACTAATTGTTAATATTCCTTTAATCTTTTTTTAATCGCTTTATTGTGAAAATTTGTGTCTGTGGCTTGGATTTCAAGTCATTGCTGGAATATTCTGAGAATACCAACTTGACTTTCTGCGGGACAAATGTTTCAAAGGCATTAGGAAAATTCTGCCGTAGGTGACAGCCTGGCAGTTCTGACACAGGTTAGCGCACCAGACCAGATTGCTTTACCCACAGTACATAAATATGCGTACGCTCAGCAGTTTTGAACAAAAACGACAGAGCGGTGCAAGATGCCTAAGGTAGAGGAAGATGTTGTTTTGCATTTAAATGGCTCAAAATTTTAAAGCAGAAAATATTTTCTTGTACTTAACTTTTTAAAATATTGTCCTATTTATCAAACAGTAACCACTCAGGGCAGGGGGCAAAGAAGGAGATCACATGTGACCTTCTCTAGATTTATTTAGAAGGTATATAATACAAGAACTATGAAATAGCAGCCTACGTATACTCGCTCCCCTAACCCACACAGCATTCACAAACAAAAACTCACTGCTGTTTTTCTAGAACTGCATTCAGTTCCTTTTGGAAGGCAGTCTTCCACCTATGAAAAATATGTGAGCTAATCCCGGAGCCTGAGCAATGTAGAGGATCAGTACGTAAGGACCACAGGGCAGCCACACTGTAACCCCCTTACCCCCAAAAGACAGAACTGTTACAGAAATTCTAGTTTTCTACAACCTCCCCGACGGTTAGTGACATTTGTGTATCGTCTTGATCATTCGTTCCCTTGTATGTCTTTTATAGTGCATCACCCTCTAGATTCCAGGGTAGAGTTTGGCAGAATTTTAATAAGCCGAGGCCAGATCCCACGTCATGAAACCCAGGCAGTACATGTCATCGAACTGCAAGCCTGCAATTACTTCTTGAAGACGACGACTTCAAGCCTCGAGAGACTTTCTATCCATCCTTGCACTTAGTTGACTGAAAATTCCACAGAAATCTGTTGTGCCAGAGATGGCACTGGCTTCTCTTGTGTCTTGCCCTTTGTGTGGAAAAAC